ATGACTAGAAGAATTCCTCACATAAAAATTAGGATCACTGTCTGAAGAGACAGAACTTATTAGCCTGACTCGTATTATATCTAGAATACATGTATTGAATTATGACAACGTATCCCACAAAGAAAGCAACCATGTGTCAATAAAATAAAGAATGTATTCCTGCACTCATTCTATTTTCTAATGGTCAGGAACCAGATCTCTCATCAATTCTTGACTCATTTTGCCTCACTGCACTGACTCCATGTATAATTATATCGCATACAAATTCTTAGAGGGAAGTCCTAAGAACTTTGTTGCCACAGAGGGAAAAGCACCCAGAAAACTGGCCTCTAACTTGTGTACCCATAACTTTGGAAGTGACAGATTATAATATCATTCTACTATTGACTTCACCTTCACAAAAGTTACAAGATAAGTTGTATATGATGAATGAAGCCAGATCAGTGACTGTCACTTTCATTTTTGAGCCAAATCATTAATGTCCTCTCTCTAAGAACCAGTTCTACACCTACAACATATCAAGTTTTGATTAATTTACTATAGATCTTTTTGAAAACAGATCTCAGAAAATGTTGTATATAATCTTTTGATCATAATTGTGAAGACAATCAAGTCCCACATTTATTTAAATTTTAACACTAGTATTTCCCTCAAACCAGACAACTGGTGGGGCTAGCCCAGGGACATAGGAAAACACCACTAAATCTGAGTCTGGGTACCCTTGCCAGTAAAAATTCAGAAAGGTGATTTAAAAATCTTTTTAGAGAAGGGTATAGTTTCATTAGAGTTTTAGCAATGCAGGAATCTCTAAGTCTACATGATTTTAGGCAGAATTTCAGAAGGCTCTGGAACCATCTTTTTGCTCCCATTACTGTCAATTGTGCATGTTATGAGGAAAATTAAGCACTTGCTGGTGTAATTCTGGGTGATGTGAATGACCTCTATGTTCCACAAAGTAGTGGGCTTGCTGTAAATCCTTCACTGTTAAATTCTGGAGGCCGAGTAAGGAAGAGCGGTTGAGGGCTTTGCATTTGCAACATTCAAGTCCTGTTATTTTGAGGCACTGCCAGGATAGACTATAGAACTTCTCACTGGGATAAACCATTATTTAAAGTCCATGTGCCAACTTGGTGAACTTATGTGGGGCATTACTGATGAGGTATTTTAATAGACAGACCTAGAGGGGTCCAGAAAATGGCATGTTGTTCGTACTCCTAAGATCATTACTTTGTCCTTCTTAAGAGATAGGCACACTGTGTACAATCCAGACCCAAGCTGGTCTGGATTTTGGATGAGAAGCTGCTTATTTTCTTGGTGGATTTCATAGCATTCCTTATAGCTATAAAGGGGTGTTCAAAACATCCTAAAGTTTTTAGTCATATAAATTGAAAGCAAGGGCTCGTCCTGGACAGACCGTGAGACTAACTAATGTTCAAGTCCTTTTAAAACTTTTAAATGTATATTTAGACATAATTAACATGGTGTTAAGAAACACAAGTTAGGCTCAAACATATAATTCAACTGGTATCAGAAAATGTTTAACCTTGAGTTCAAACTATAAATGCAACACGATGACAATTATAATTTTATGCTTCAGTTTTTGCAAATGCAACATGTTCCACCGGAGACTTCAAAGGCAACTGCTTCGCTCAAAAATACCTGTTTTAGGAGCTCAGTGTCCAGTGGAATGGAATGTATACATTAGCCAGACAAGTGATAAGCTTTGATGTTATTATTAGAGATATATTATCTAAATAACCTTTACTTTGTTAATGATTGCATTAATTAAATGGGTTCATGTATATGTGCTGGGGTAGATCTATAATCTGACCTTGGCTTAATAGAATAATACCCTTGAATTCTAGTTTGGGCACCATTAATGATTCTTCTTTCTCACAGTTACTGTGAGAAAGATAATTGAGCTATTTATGACCTAAGGTTACTTATCTTTAAGAAAAAAGAGTAATACACTCTCATCTTTATTTAAAAGAATGTAGGAAAATCTAAATAAACTTTCTCTTGACAAGTTCTGAAAACATTACTCAAAACCAACTAACAATGTATTCAAAGATACATTGCTTTGACCACTGTGAGTGAGAGCGCTAGTGAACAGTTGGTGATTTCTAGAAGGACGCATTTCTAGAAAGAGAGAAGTACTTCCTCGTCGGAGACACACACAGCCCCAATTAATCAGCACATGCAAAGCCGCTCCTTCGTGTTAAAGCTGGGGCATCCTGCTGCGCCTGCCACCTCAACACAGCAGTTACAGTGCAAGAATAAGACATTATTATCAGTCACTAGATGCTGAACCAGGGACGAGAAAGTGAGTAAATCAGAGGAAATGCAAGCAGGAGACAGGGAAACAACTGCACCGAGAGGAAGGGAGCGGGGGAAAGCGAGAAACAGAGAAAGCAGATCTCTGGAGGGAAATGAAGGTCGGAAATGGCATGGAAGCAAACCTTCACTGCTGGATCACATTTTATTTTCAATAGGTAAGTTTGGCAGATTTAACATATTTAATTAGCATTAATAAATAAAACCAGTAGAATGTGGAAGGCAAGCTGTGAGCCTATAATTTATTTTCCACGACTAGAGGTGTGAGATGGTAGCAGGACTGGTTTCAAAGAAAAACATGGAAAACATGACAAGATCATTTCAGAAGACCGGTTGGCTCTTTCCATTTAATTGAGCACATATTCTCTGAGTGTCTCTTCGGTGTCCCGTGTTAGTATATGTGCTGCCAAAGCGAGTGCTCCGTGTCCCATGTGGCCTTAGTCCATTTTCTGTTGCTAAATCACAATACCACAGACTGAGCAAGAGCTAACAAAAGGAGGTTTCCTTGGGCTTGGGGTTCTGCAGGGACTCGGTCGGAGCCCTGCCTCTAGGGGTGACATGCTTGCCGCCAAAATCCCAAGTCAGCACAGGGCCAGGTATGGCAGAAGGCAGGGAGTGCGTATGTATTTGTCCTCCGCTCTTCTTCTCTATTCTTACTCCGATGGCCTTGTCTGCTCCTAATCACCTCACAAAGGTGCAGCTCTAAATCCAACAGTTGGATAAGTTCTAACATATTAGTGCCTTCCAATGGGTATTCAATCACAACAGGAGCTTTGGAGGGGATAAATCATTCTAACACATAGCATATATAGTAAAGGATAATGCAAAGGAAATAATTCTTGTCTCAAGAGTTCAGATCTAGAGGTAAGTTGTGGTTTTTATCTACATGTTCCCTCAAAGCTTCATGTGCTCATAGGTAGGCTTCTCAGAGACAAGTGGATCTAAAGTGTGATACTAAATTAGTGCACTCTGGTTTAGCAGGGGTCTGGGTGCAGAGGATAGAAGGGCACACCTTAGGTGTGGGTGCCACCACCCGATATCCTTGTAGCCTGGGTGGAATAGAAGAAAGGAAGGCTCCCTGTGGCTGCTGCTTCCCGTCGGCCTGCCATGAACTGTTTCTCCTCTGCCTCGCTTCTCTGCCGTGGTGCCTGGCCTTGGAGCCAGCTGACTATGGACTGAAACGTCTATAAACTCTGAGCTAAAATACATCTTTCCTCCTTTACCTTCTGGGTTTTGGATATTTCATTACAGCAATGAAAAAGTAGCTAAGACAAAGTATGAAGGCAAACATTCGGAATTATTTAGAATGAAAGAGTCAAATGTCAACTTAAAAGTGTGAATTTTTTTCTTTATTGCTGATACCTCACGTGGAGAATTGTGCTCGCCAGGTACCCAAACTCATCTACACTCATGCAGCAAGAGATCCTCTCAATCCTGTTCTTTTGACAACACCCAACACTAACCCAAGAACTTCCCTGGCAATCTCTGCAGGGCACTGGGCTCTGTTAACTGCTCACTAAGGGACCCTGAATCATAATTGTAAACTAGAAATTAAACATACGAACTTTGGGGTCAGACAACATATAGTTAAATTACTACAGTACATTTTAATACCTTTCACAAACATTGACAAGTTATTCTTCCTTTCTGTTCATAATATTGTTGAGTGGGTTAAATGAATACAGCTGACCATTTATATACTTGTCACACGTGCAGTTTCAAACAGGAGTGGGTAGAAAATTATTTTTTAAAGTTGTATCTGTACTGAACATAGACTGGATTTTCCTTACTGTTATTTCCTAAACAATACTATTTAAATTGAATTAACATTGTCTGATAAATAATCTAGAGATGATAAACTATAGAGGAGGATTCATTAGTTTGTATAAAATATGCCTTCTGTATAAGGAATTTGCATATCTATGAATTTTGGTATCCACTAGGGGTCCTGGAACTAATCTCCTTAGGGAATGTGGTAGATTAACTAATGGTCATCTTGGAACACCCTCCAGCTGGACTCCTGGAGGACATTTCCATGGGATCTGGGTCTTCAGCTGGACTCGTGCAGGACATTGCCGTGGGATCCAGGCTCTCAGCTGGATTCTTCGGGTCTCCGGTGTGTGGACAGATCTCCCACACTCTTTTGCATTTGATTCTTTGAGGCATTTTCCCTCTGTGCCTTCACGTCCCTGGTGTCTCTGTGTATTGAGAATTGCTGTTATAAGAATATTAACCAGACTGGACTGTAGCCCAGCAATATGATCTCATTGAACTGTAACTGCCTCTTTAAAGGGTACCAAACACAGTCATATTTTAAGGTTCTGAGGGTTAAGACTTTACTATATGAATGGGGTGAGCACAGTTAAGTCCCAGATAGGGAGTATGACATACTCCAGTAAATTTTACACACACACACACACACTGGGAGGGAGGGAGAGAGACACACATACTTGTGTAACTACATCCCAGAAGGTGGTGTTAAAATTCTTCCTACATCTCCAGTACTGCATCATGTGCCTGGCCAATCAATATAATCTTCTCTTCCAGAAATTCTCCTCCATTATTTTGACTTCTGTTACAAAGATAATTTTGCCTGACCTTGAACTCCATACAGGTGACATCATGCTGTGTATCTCCTTCCGTGTCTAGTCTTTTGTACTCCACAGGCCATCTATATTATCCTCCCAGGTACTCCCATGTAGTCATCGCTTTTTAGTTGCAAGGCATGGGTAAAACAATTTGTTTATTCCTTCACCCGGTGAAAGGCACTGTGTTCTTTCCTTCTGAGAGTATGATGAATAATGCTCTCAGAGTACTTATAATTTTTTGCAGACATACACATTCATTTCTCAAGGGGAATTGGTTATGTGGGGGTGTGTTGATTAATTCAAAAACAAAATGAAATTTTGTAAGTGCATCTTATCTGCTGTTTAATTTCAGTATGGTCGGACAACATCCTCTGAAGTTTTTCAATCCTTTGAATTTGTTCAGATGTGTTGGTGTCCATGTAAACATGCCTCACACACACTTAAAAATAAAGTCTGTTCTGCAGTGGCCGAGGACGATGTTCATAAACGTAATTGGATCAAAGTAAGTTTGTTGCTCATTTTTTTCATATTAAAATGTTTTCATTCTATCATGAGCTGTTAAAATCTCTACACCTGATTCTATCACTTTCTATTGACTTTTAAAATCTGTTCTATATATTTCACAATACAAATTTGGACTGTTACATATTCCTACTAAGTTGACTTACTATTAAATATCCCTCATAATCTCCAGTATTTTTCCTTAAACTTTATCAGACTTAATAAAGCCACACTCCTTTGAAGTGTGTGTCCATGGTATATACCTCTACTTTCAATTGCTCTTTTTCCACATTTTTAAACTGTGTTTCCTGTAAATACATGTAGGTGTCATCTACCATGAGGATCTTTGCCCTTTAACCGCACTATTTATTCTAGATGAATGCCAGGTAATGACTTATCCTCCCAGGTTTAAGTCAACTGTCTTGCAATTATTTTGTTTAGTTATTTCGTTTTCCCGTTGCCTTTCTTTGCAAAAATGAAGCCTTTTATTATTCCATTTTCCTCTCCATTATCATCTTAATGATATAACCACTCACTATTCTCTTGGTAGTTAGAACTGTAATCAAAAGCTTTTAATACATATACTTTATAACTACTGAATAATTAAGTCTTCTGTTTCTGTTTTACATTTCTCTTTAGCTTGCTTTTATAAATCTCAGGTATCTTCTGAAATAAGATATATTCTATTTTCTTAAATTTATTTCTTGTATTTATTGTAAAATTCTCTTCTGAAAATACAAATAGCTGAGTCATCAGTATCTATTCCTATAATTATCTTGATTTTTTTTCTTTTGCTTACTTTAAAATTCCTCACTGGATATCAGACATTTTCAAGAAGAAATTGTGAAGGATATGGATATTTCCTTTCTCCCAAAGCATTAAAATATTTTTGATTGTATTTAGATGGAACCTTTATTCTTTTAAAGGTTAGCTTTTTTGTTACATGTAAGTTTTATTATTAATCTCTGTTTTGCAGTTTAGATGTCAATAATCTGAGAGGAAATTACACACAGATTGTTTTTTTTTTTTGTACTGGGAATTGAACTCAGGACCTCACTTGCCAGGGAGGCTCTGTGCCTCTGAGCTACATCTACAGCCCTTATGTAGGTTTTTATTCTCTCTTCTTTATGACTCCTTTCTCATTGGAACTGTACAATCCTGTCAATCCTGATATCAACCTTCAGCCCAGTAAAATAGATACTTTTAATTTGAGCTTATCACCCTGGTTTGGCTTCTGTGTACACGTCTTCCCAAAGCCTCACGTGCTTATTGGTGGAGCTCTTGGCTGGTGGCTGGATTAGGGTTTGGGATACTGAGGTTAAGAGTGTGTAGTAACTAAATTGGTTTTGCACAGGTTGAGGTGTGGATAATGGAGAGGCCCATCCTGCATGTACTTTGGAATGTCATAGACCATTATGGCCATAAGGAAAGTGCTCAGGTGAGGCGTGTACAAAATGACCTCTTGATAATCATTTATCTGGGCTCTGACAAAGTTATGGTGAGAGAAAGGATGATAGTGTACTGAGAAGAGAATAGAGGGCTGTTACTTGCATGAAAATGCACGCCGAGTAAAGATCACAGAATCAATTACACATTTATGGATGACTCATATATTAAATGCTGCAGTAGACATGCTGGTAGAACTGGTAAATAAAAATACTAGTCATACCCTCCTATTATCTTGTTTCAAATGTTTTTCTCTTTAAAATAACAAAAAATACTAGTTACCATGACTTGAAAATGTTACGGTTCTAATGAGTATTTTCTGTTTGGTTTTTCTTATTTCCAAATTGTAGAGCTAGCTGGATGCAGGTTAATATTTTACATTCAGTGAGGCATAAGTCATGTTAGGGTAGGAGGGTTTAGCATATGTTACTTAAATTAGACTGAAGGTTAATTTCATTTATGCATGACTATATTCAAGACTTTACTGAGTAAATTTCACATAATTCTCTCCAAAATAAAATATTTGTGACATAGAACGGGGTTTACAAACCACTATTCTACCTTAGGAATTAAATTATCACTACTCAATTTGCACAGTAGCGTTAAAAACTTAAACAAAGAACATCACTGCTTTCATAAGATATTTTATTCAACTGCACTCTTGTTCAATATTTTATTAATTAGATAATATCGAATTTTTCCTCCCCAAATAGAACTAAATGGGGAGAGTTAGGGCATCTTTCTTGGTCATTGTGACTCTCATTATTTATGTTGATTCATAAAAGAAGCAATGCTCATTTTTTATTCTTTACAAAATATGGAATCCCTGGCTATATAATGTGATTGTCTCTGAAGCCAAAATATTTCCTCCTAAGCCTAAACAGAAATGTTAAACACAATAGGGGCTGGGGATTTAGCTCAGCGGCAAAAGCGCCTGCCTGGCAAGTGGAAGGTCGTGAGTTCGGTTCCCGGTACCGGAGAAAAACCAAGAAAAAAAAAAACAAACACAATAAAAAACTAATTTGAATTCATAACAGAACTTGGAAGAAAGAAAAGAAATCTCAAGATGCAACAAGTAAAGAGTGAACTAAAACCTAGAGCAATAAGCATGTGAGCTGATCTTGTGGCTGCCTGGGCGTGATAGCTATTCTGACTCATGGAAGCCCTGGTTCTACAAAGCCATGCAAACAAAGCCAGTAAGCTGGGGCCATGTCTATAAAGCAAGAGCTCAAAGGACTTCTACAGAAAATTAGCATGCCAGAT